CCAGCACCGAAAATATGAGAGAGAGCGCCTTTCAGGCATGCGCCCGACCTCAAATACATGCCTAAATAGGACAGCATAGAGCCTAGGCGGGTGGGCGGGCGCACCTGCGATTTCTGCTACTGGTTCTCTCAAACCAGTACGAACCAGCTGAACCCCACCTTTGGATAGAGTCATGTACATCTCCCAGATATCCCTCTGAAATTTAGCCGGCTGAATTTTGATGGTATGATTTCAGGATATGTTGAAAAGATTAGGAAGTTAGTAAGGTTAGCCTAGGGGACACGGTAGCTCAGTGGCTAACATGCTGAGCTTGTCGATCAGAAGGCCGGCAGTTCAACGGTTCGAAACCTTAGCGCCGCATATTGGGGTGAGCTCCCGTGACTTGTCCCAGCTTCTGCCAACCTAGCAGTTCGAAAGCAGGTAAAAAATGCAAGTAGAAAAATAGGGACCACCTTTGGTGGGAAGGGAACAGCGTTCTGTGCGCCTTTGGTGTTTAGTCATGCCGGCCACATGGCCATGGAGACATCTTCGGACAGCGCTGGCTCTTCGGCTTTGAAACGGAGATGAGCACCGCCCCCTAGAGTCGGGAATGACCAGCACATATGTGCGAGGGGAACCTTTACCTTTAAGGTTAGCCTGGGATCGGTTTACCACTTAGAAGCTTCTGTACCCAATTCCCATTTTAATCCCCCCTCCAAAACTTAAAAATTGTCTTTAAAAAGTCACCCTTGCCCCTTTCAAGCATCACTAGATAGCCTTCTGCAACCCTCCAGAAGATCAAGATAAGTCTACATCCTCTCATTAATCTTTCCTGTTTGGCTACAGTAAGTTTTTTTTTTTTAATTTGATTTATATGCCGCCCTTCTCCGGAGACTCAGGGCGGCTTACAATGCGTTAAGCAATAGCCTTCATACTTTTGTATATTTATACAAAGTCAGCTTATTGCCCCCACAAACTGGGTCCTCAATTTACCTACCTTAGAAAGAATGGAAGGCTGAGTCAACCTTGAGCCTGGTGAGATTCGAACCTGCAGTAATTGCAGGCAGCTGTGTTAATAACAAGGTGCTTTAAACCACTGTACTACCAAGGCTCCTAGGTTTAATGATAATACAGTCATAAATTGGTGGTAGTTCATTGTTCCTACCTCTTTTGTTTGTAAATGTTTCGAATGGTGATTGTGTGCCACATATAAACTATTATCTTGATAACAATATGACTTATTTTCAAAACACTTAAATGCATATCGCTGTTTTAATTACGATCAAATTCAAGCCTGTAAATTCTGAAAACAGATCTGCAAAGTGCTTTTTTACAGTTAAATTATCTTCTATTCAAATCAAGACTAGTTTGGCTTTATACTCCATTGGATAACTTATAAATAGTTTCTCCATTAAATCAGGGGTGAAATCCAGCAACTTCTGACAGGTTCTGGAGAACCGGTAGCCTAAATTTTGAGCAGTTCGGAGAACTGGCAAATACCACCTCTGGCTGGCCCCAGCGTGGGTTGGGAATGGAGATTTTGCAATATCCTTCCCCCAGGAGTGGGGAGGGAATGGGAATTTTGCAATATCCTTCCCCTGGAGTGGGGAGGGAATGGGAATTTTGCAGTGGCCTTCCCCTGGAGTGGGGTGGGGATGGAGATTTTGCAATATCCTTCCCCCAGGAGTGGGGAGGGAATGGGGATTTTGCAGTGGCCTTCCCCTGGAGTGGGGTGGGGATGGAGATTTTGCAATATCCTTCCCCCAGGAGTGGGGAGGGAATGGGGATTTTGCAATATCCTTCCCCTGGAGTGGGGTGGGGATGGAGATTTTGCAGTATCCTTCTCCTGGAGTGGGGTGGGAATGGGGATTTTGCAGTATCCTTCCCCTGGAGTGGGAAGGGAATGGGGATTTTGCAGTATCCTTCCCCTGGAGTGGGGTGGGAATGGAGATTTTGCAGCATCCTTCTCCTGCCACGCCCACCAAGCCACACCCACAGAACCGGTAGTAAAAAAATTTGGATTTCACCACTGCATTAAAGGCATTTGCATATAATAGGGGGGGGGAAACCCACAAGAAAAAGTTAAATGCACTTTTCAGCATCATGTATTAAATGCCTAAACGGTCTTTGACAGAGCTGAAATGTTTTCAATGAATACCTCGTAGGGATACAGCTGAGAAATACGTGCATTGCCCTTGTATATTTCCCTTTTCTTTCCTCATACTTTACCTCCTATCTGGTGTACCAGCTTACTTGTTTTTTTTTAAAACCACAGTGACTTTTTTTGCCATGGCAAAGACGATAATTATCTGCTGCCTGAATTCCTGTGCATATAATGGCCTTGCAGGTTGGAAGGAACGCATTTGCAGCCTTCCTAGCAACCTGGAGCCCAGAGAAACAGGTCCAGCGCTATCAGTCTGTCATTCCTTCTGTGACATGGTAACAGCACAGCCTCTGATTCAGGAGAATACCCCAGGGAGCTGGGCTGCCATCTATAAAGCCATGACACTTTAAATATAAATAAGCAAGCAAACTATAGCTCCCACCAGCAGAATTAGGCACAAAGCAAAGTGCCAGGCAGAGAGAGAGAGAGAGAAAGGGAGAGGGAGAGGGAAAAGGAAAGGGAAAGGGAAAGGGAGAGGGAGAGGGAGAGGGAGAGGGAGAGAGAGAGAGAGAGAGAGAGAGAGAGAGAGAGAGAAACAAGTTAAGTGAAGTTAAGCAAACGTGGGAAAACTTTCATCAGGCAAAATCTCACAGCATTTTTCCCCTCTAACAAGATCATTGAAAAGGAGATTTTAATCACTTAGAATGGGAATTTATTATAATTTGTACTTAAGTCGAGGACAAAGTAAGATTCCTGTTGTAGAGTTGAACAGCCTCCGTTAGCCTCGGTGGGGAGATAATTCATTTATTTCATATCAATCCTGCTTTGTTTCTGGGAGTTCAGAATGGTTCAAAAGGATCGAGTTATCCATAATCTCATGCATGATGCAAGACCAACTGTGAAGTATATTGAGCTCCTCCTCACTAGCTCCATATGCAACTGAAGCCCTTCAACCTGAGTTTCTCCAATCCCAGATCATCCCTTTAACATTGAGGCCACATTGGAGTCATTAGATTTCCTGATCTCGACACTTCCAGATTTATTTTTATTCATTTATTATAACATTTATTGGCCGCTGGTCTTACCATAGGGTAATTCTGGGTGGCGTACAATTAGATAAATAGATAGATAGATAGATAGATAGATAGATAGATAGATAGATAGATAGATAGATAGAGAGAGAGAGATAAATAGATAGCTAGAGAGAGAGAGAGAGAGAAAGAGAACATATTAATGTAAAGCAGTATAACCCAATTATAGATGGGAAGAGTGAGAGCAGGGTGGTGGGTAGGTGTGATCTGTTGTTAATTGATCAACCACCTCCATGTGATGTTTCCTCACTGGGGCTCCAAGCTAACTGGGAGAGCCAAGTCTGCAGACACATATGGAAGATCAGGAGAGTTGGGGCCAACCTCACTGTTCTGCCCCAGCTACGGACCCCAAAGAACACAGCGCACACGAAGTCTGTACAAAGCTTAGTTTACTAAATTAAATCAGTCTTTTTCAAATGAAGGCTGTTAATTAACTTTCTTAACAGCCTACAAGAATCCAAAGAATAAATAATCGTAATCTTACTATGGTTGGCAGAAAGCCCAGAAGCAATTTGCAGGACACTGATAAGAGATCTAAGATCAGGACGCGAAGGAGAGTGAACGAAGTTGTTCCCTGCAAATTGCCTCAGTTGTCGTCCTTCCTTAAATAGGCTAAGGGAGTGGCCAATTAGCCCCAAGCCTTACTCTCGAGGAGACCTCCTCCTGAGGAACCACTCCTGCCTTTTGGCAGTTCTGCGTGCCCGTGCATCGAGAAGAAGCTCCTCCTCTTCTTCTTCTTCACTTATGGGAGCTTCCGGAGGTTCTGAAGGCCCTGGCTGAATCCCCGCCTCTGGCACCACATCTTCTCCAGCCTCCTCATTGTCTGACTCGAGTGCCAGCTGCACAGGCTGCTGACGCAGCACCACACCAGCCTCCTTGCTGTTGGAATCAGCTACAATCTACACAGGCCGCGTACGAGCCACAACACTCACAAGTTGGAGGGAGCCGTTCCAGAGGGCAGGCGCAACAGCAGGGTTTCAGTATCTTGATATTCCAATTCTTTCTTCCATACATCAGTGTTTTTCATGTTAAAACTTACTTTTGATACAAATCAAAATAGGGACTTCATCAAAAAAAAGAAAAAAAGCATCTTAGTGCATAGTTGTCGTAGTGCTGTCCAAAAGTGCTAGAATTAATGACAGTATAAAGAGTGTTATTTCAAGAATCAGGATTACTAGTTTTAACGGTTTCTACATGTGGCGTGTCAAGAGAGCAGGGCTTTGCCTCAGGTGTGAATTTGCTGTGCTAGTGAACGGTATGTTTCAGGTAGCAATAGTCAGGGGCGGGCTTCAAAAATTTTAGCAAGGGGTTCTCTGCCTGGTTGCTGGGTGAGCGTGGCCATAGTGGGCGTGGCTAGTTGGCCTCTTGCACCACTGGGGGGGTGTTTATGCCCTCCCCGGGCTCCGGAGCCCCCGGGAGGGCAAAAATGGCCTCCCCAGGTTCCGGAGGCCCTCTGGAGGCCGGAAACAGGCCCGTTTCCGGCCCTCCCGAACTTCCGGTAGGCCCGTTTCTTGCCCTCCCCAAGCCTCTGCGCGCGCCCTGCACTTAATGGGCCATGTGGGGACTCCTGGGAGGGGTGGGATGGGTGGGGCCAGCCAGGAGTGGGATTTGGAGGTTCTCCGAATTGCTCAGAATCTTAGCTAGAGGTTCTCCCGAACCCCTGCGAACCCCCATAAACCCACACCTGGCAATAATGAATCCCAACCCTGTTTCCTTTTTTCAGCCTGCCTATTCCTATTCTTCTAAAACAAAGTCTACCCAATATGTGCATTTATGAAACCTTGTTAAAGAGCTTGTTCCATTGTATATAATTTATCTCTTTTCAGGGCGATGATTTGAAGACGGGGAACCTGGAAGGTCATGTAATAGCAGGTAAGCAGAAGCCCTTCATACGGGGAGTCTTCAACTTCAGACACATTTGAGCCCCAAAACTTATGTCGCTAAGTGAGACCTTTGTTAAGTGAGTTCTGCCCCATTTTACGACTCTTCTGGCCACGTTTGTTAAGCGGATCGCTGCCGTCGTTAGCTTAGTAAGACGGTTGTTAAGTGAATCTGTTTTCCCCGTGGACTTTGCCTGACAGAAGGTCGCAAAAGGATGATCGTGTGACCCTGAGATATGGCAACCATCATAAATGTGAGTCCGTTGTCAAGCATCTGAATGGAAATCACGTGACCACGCGGGATGCCGCAATGGTTGTAAGTGTGAAAAATGGTCATAAGCCACTTTTTTTCAGTGCCATTGTAACTTCGAATGGCCTCTAAGGGAGCAGTTGAAAGTTGAGGGTTGCCTGTACCTGCTAAGAACTTCTGTGTATCATTAGGCACCTGTTACGGAGACCTCTATATTTGTGTGAGGAAGTAGGCATCCTTGTTCATATGTGTGATTTTTGTGATCTTGATTGCCTCACAGTCAAGTCACACAGTGAGCCTTAAGGGCAGTTCAGCTCAAAATCGGATTCAAAGGGCTGCAGCCTTCCCCTGTACAGACCTTCTTCAAGACCCTTTGCTGTGATGGCGCACCTATGGCACGCGTGCCACAGGTGGTACGTGGAGCCATATCTGCAGGCACACGATCCATTGCCCTAGCTCAGCTCCAGCACGCATGCGTACGCCAGCCAGCTGATTTTCGGCTGGCCCCACACATGCCGGCCCTCCCGTCCCGTCCCCTCCCCTCCCAGGAGTCTCCAAATGGCCCGTTTTGGATGCCAGGTAAGTATAAGGCTCGCATAGAAGCTCTGGACAGCATTTTTGGCCTTCATGGGGCCGGGGAGGCTGTTTTCACCCTCCCCGGGCTCCAAGAAAGGTTCTGGTGCCTGGGGAGGGTGAAAAACAGGCCTATCGGGCCCACCAGGAGTCGGTAAACAGGCCATTTCCAGCCTCCAGAGGCTTCAGGGAGGCCTGCTAGGCCCAAAACAGGGCACAGGGGGGGTCATGCACGCATCTGCAGGGGAGCCCAGGGGAGTTACGCATGCATGCACATGCGCAGGGAGGTGGGGGGCATTGAATTATGGGTGTTTGGCACGCATGCACATGCTTTCGGCACCCAAGGGAAAAAAAGGTTAGCCGTCACTGCCTTATTCCATCAAGACTGCAACTAAATGTAGATTCAAAGATTAAACATCAGATTTTTTTTCTATCCTCCCCCCCACCCCCATTTTTAAAATATTTTCCATCTTGTCCAAGAAAAAAAAAAAAATTCAAGAGACTTTGAAAGCTCGCACTATAATTTTATGAACTTGTTTTGCCTATGCAAAAGAGATTCGCTGATGGCATTTTATAAAGTAGTTAGCAATAGATTCTGAGCTTGTTTAAACAAGCAGGGTGTTGAATTTTAACAAATATGTCCCTCCTTAAGGTAGCACAACACAATTCTGCAAGACTTTATGCTCTATTTTTTTAAAAAAATCAATTTTAGAAGGTCCCGCGTTAGCTTTCAAAAACACTATTGCAGGCCCAATATGCAATATTGGGGTTATTGAGACCCCAATAAATTGAGAACCAAGATACGTATTACGTGTTCTCCGAAACATAGCAGGGAAAATAGTTTTGAAATGTCCTGTGCAGAATAGTGTAGATAAGCTTTGGGTGCTTTGGAAAATAGCTTGACCCCTTCCTCCTCTCTGTGGCAGCCCCTCAAATATTGGAAGACTGCTATCATGTCTCCCCTGGTCCTTCCCTTCACTAGACTAGCCATGCCCAGTTCTGCAACCGTTCATCGTATCTTTTTTTATATTGTGGTAACCAAAACTGGATGCAGTACTCTAGGTGTGGCCTTACTAAGGCTTTATAGAGTGGTATTAGTACCTCCCTTGATCTTGATTGTATTCCTCTGTTAATGCAACTTAGGAGTCCATTCTTAGGAGTCCATTGATAGACCAGTTCTGGAACCAGTAGTGGAAATTTTGAGTAGTTCGGAGAACCAGTAGTAAAAATTCTGACTGGCCCCGCCCCCATCTATTCCATGCCTCCTAAGTCCCAGCTGATCGGGAGGAAATGGGGATTTTGCAGTGTCCTTCTCCTGGATTGGGGAGGGAATGGAGATTTTACAGTATCCTTCCCCTGCCACGCCCACTAAGCCACACCCACCGAACCGGTAGTAAAAAAATTTGAAATTCATCACTGCATATATTATACTGAATGTCCTCAAAATAGTGTCCATGCAATGGTGAGTCTATCAATGCATTCTTTGATGCTCAATGCTTAAACGATGTTTATTAGTTTAAGTTTCTTTTTTCTTATTAAAAACACACGGGAAACTAACATACTGCAACACGAGATAGCATAACCTCAATGTTCAACAATATATCTGGGTGTCATACGAGTCCCAGATATATTCTTAGAAAATATGGTATGAACTGGCTATAGCTTTCTCCTTTGTTTTCTGTGTGATGGGCCATATCCATCACGTCAACCGTTTTGTTGTAGGAATGCTGAAAATATGTTCTTAAAATTCTTAAAATTCCAATTTCACTGTCCCCGAGACTTCGTGCCACCTGCAAGGCGTTTATAACAGCTGGTGGATTTGCCGGACTGGGCAATCATAAGAAAACTTAAGTTTTTTTTGCTCATAAAATCCTGAAGTGATAAAAAGTCCAGCAGGAAGTGAATTTGTGATGGTTAGTTACATTGAAGAAGAAAGAATAGCACCTCGCGCCCCCACACCCCACCTCTTGATTAGGCGGGCGAAGAATTTTATCTCTCCAATTTCTTTTACATCATCTTGTCTTCTTGAATCCAATCTGAAATGCCCTTTGAGCTAAGATTGGGGTTTTAAACCATTAAGGAGCATCTGCATACATAATAGCTCTGCTTGATATTTGATTTTTTTTTTTTCACAACACAGAGCGGGGAGGGGTAGCCATCAACCCACTAGTGAGGCATTCAAGATTGACAGCCAGTAATGCCCTGATTTCATTTACATCCGAGCTCTTCGGGAAATTAAGTGTAGTTTCCTTTTGCTGGTTCTTATGGCAACCTATGCAATTGACGGAGCATATGGAAGCTAAACTAGCTAGAAATGTTGAGATGATTGAAGTTGGAACTTGACGGAAGAGGTCTAGATTTCTGCTTTGCAACTAACATCTTGTCAGGCAGGAATATATGTTTTAAGCCCCTGTCATGGTCAAATGCATGCTATCCGAAGGAAGCTATTATATAATTTGCCAGTTCTGCAAAAAACAGAAAATAGTGCTTTGATGAACCCTACAGCACAGTGATGGGTTGCAAAATTTTTTGCTACCGGTTCTCTGGGTGTGGCTTGGTGGGCGTGGCATGGCTTGGTGGGTGTGGCTTGGTGGGCGTGGCAGGGGAAGGATGCTGTAAAATCTCCATTCTCACCCCACTCCAGGGGAAGGATACTATAAAATCTCCATTCCCTCCCCACTCCAGTGGAAGGATACTGTAAAATCTCCATTCCCTCCCCACTCCAGGGAAGGATACTGTAAAATCTCCATTCCCTCCCCACTCCCAGTGGAAGGATACTGTAAAATCTTCATTCTCACCCCACTCCAGGGGAAGGATACTGTAAAATCTCCATTCCCTCCCCACTCCAGGGGAAGTATACTGTAAAATCTCCATTCCCTCCCCACTCCAGGGGAAGGATACTGCAAAATCCCCATTCCCTCCCGATCAGCTGGGACTTGGGAGGCAGAGAATAGATGGGTGGGGGTGCCAGTTAGAATTTTTACTACCAGTTCTCCGAATTACTCAAAATTTCCGCTACCGGTTCTCCAGAACTGGTCAGAACCTGCAGAAACCCACCTCTGCTACAGCAACCAGTTGCTGTCCTAAACTCAAACATTATGGTAGTATTGTGACTTTATCTTCTGTTAGTTACAGGCTTAGGAGATGCGGTTTCCAATATCCATCCAGCCATGGATCTTACCAAGTTTATGCCAATCATCTCCCAGTTTACACTACAGGGATGATATGAGAAAGGGTCTGGGAAAAGTGTGATAAAAATGTAAATTAAAAATAATGAATGCTTTAAAAAAAACCTTTTAAAATATTTAAAATATCTTGTTCTTTCAAGAGAATTTGTTAGTTTATTGAAGCGTACTAACTTGATTATTTTTATTCTAATTTAAATTGTTAGTAGAGATACAACTAGAACTAAAGAAGCTTCTTGAATGAGAAGTGAAATCAATTAATTTAATATTTAAGTATATCAATAGCTTTGTAGCTTCATATTTCCATATCCATTGGTTTAGTACCTTATGAACTGATCAGTTTAGCTTTTTAGTTTTATTTCTCTAGTATTCTAGTATCTGCATTTATATCCTATTTTAATTTTATCTCTCTTAATTTGTACAACCTATTCAGAATGTTTCCTTTTATCTTCTTATGAGTGTTTAAAATGTTATGAACTTATAAGAGTTAATAATAAAAAGTACAATTAATAAAGATACCGGCTGTGTTTGTAGGCTAAAATTTAACTAGTTTGCACTATATGGATCCCCAATGGGTATATGACTCATTACGTTAAATGAAGCCACCCAGCATGGTTAATTCAATAAACTATGATTTCTTTAACCATAGCTCAATGTACTGTACAAAAAAAGTCACTCTCTTGCTACAGTCAGAAGATATGTTTGCATGACATTTTTATCAATGATTAAAGCAATTAACCTGATTTCCTAAGTCCGCATAAAAATTTCATCAAAAACTAGTGAGTTCACACAACATACTAGACCAAAATATATGTGTAGTTAATTTGCCATTCAGTCTCTTTTGTTAATACTGTCATTTCCTCCCAGTAATAAGTAATCACTTTCCTTTCTAAAAGCCATAAATGCACCACCAACCACAAGAGTATCTATGATACTCTTGAGTATCATAGAGTTACATGGAGAGGCTTTAAAATTTAGCATTTCTACAGCTGTATTCACATAACATATTGGGACGCAAATTGGCAGCCACATTATAACCTAGGATGAATTACAAACTCAGACTATATGATTAGCTGAAAGTTGAGTATATTGGGTTATTGGGTTAATTAATTAAACCAGATTACATTTCCCCAGAGAGAAGTCAATGTAAAAATGGCCTATTTTTTCCCAATATATATTTTTCCTCTATAAGGTAAAGATAAAGGTTCCCCTCGCACATATGTGCTAGTCGTTCCCGGCTCTAGGGGGCGGTGCTCATCTCTGTTTCAAAGCCAAAGAGCCAGCACTGTCCGAAGACGTCTCTGTGGTCATGTGGCCGGCATGACTCAACGCCAAAGGCGCACGGAACGCCTGTTCCCTTCCCACCAAAGGTGTTCCCCATTTTTCTACTTGCATTTTTTACCTGCTTTCGAACTGCTAGGTTGGCAGAAGCTGGGACAAGGAACGGGAGCTCACCCCATTATGCGGCACAAGGGATTCGAACCGCTGAACTGCCGACCTTTCGATTGACAAGCTCAGCGTCTTAGCCACATCCCTTTTTCCTCTATAATAGTATCCAATTGAAGAGAAGCAAGATTGGGGGGTGGGGGGGAATCCATTTCTCACCTCCAAATTATTCCTTTGTAAGGCTATTTTGGCCCAAAGTTGAAATTTGGAGAGATTAGGTTAGTAATGAAAAAATGATGGGAAGAAAGATATTAAAATAGTTTCCCACAGGTCAGGGAATTATGGCGAGAAGAACATCAATGCAGTCATTATTTGCTTTTCCACTAAAAGGATCTTGTTAAGGTGGCTAACAAGAGTAAAAATAAAAAGCAAACACAAATGAAAGCATTATTGAAGAATCATTAAAATAGAAGATTGCATTTATACAGGTCAACAGCCAACCCAATACGCACATCCAAGGTTGCCTGGAATCCTGTCAGTTGAGGTCTCATTCCAACATAACTAAGGAAATCAAGAGTTACAGTATTCTTCACTTATTATTTACAGTATATGATGTTTTTAAAGCTCGTTTTATTATTTACTATTTTGCCTGTTTTATATTGCGTTGTGTGTTTTGCCTTTATTATTGATCTTGTTTTGGTTTTAATCCAGTGGTGAAATCCAAATTTTTTTACTACCGGTTCTGTGGGCGTGGCTTGACGGCGTGGTATGGCTTGGTGGGAGTGGCTTGGTGGGCGTGGCAGGGGAAGGATACTGCAAAATCTCCATTCCCACCCCACTCCAGGGGAAGGATACTGCAAAATCTCCATTCCCACCCCACTCTGGGGCCAGACAGAGGTGGTATTTGCCGGTTCTCCGAACTACTCAAAATTTCCGCTACCGATTCTCCAGAACCTGTCAGAACCTGCTGGATTTCACCCCTGTTTTAATCCTATATTAGCCACACAGAATCACACATTGGGAGTTATTTTATTTAAATAAATATTTGTGAACAGAGTAATTGAGAGGCAGACAAACTGGAACGAGTCTAAAATTAGGTAGCGCTTTGGGGCTTGGGTGTCATCCATCTGGAAGATGGGTTAGGAGAGGTAACAAGAGGTGTATTTGGAAAGAGAAGGAACTTAATCTAAGCTTGAAAGGTTGGGAAAACCAGGTGAAGTTAAAAAGGGAGGTGTTTTGTTTTTTTTTTAACAAAGAACAAACAAGTACATTCTTGTAACTTGATGGAAAGCAGCCAGATAGAGAGAAGGGTGCAACATGCTCAGAAATTCTACATACACACCAGGTGCTCCAAAGATTGAAATCTATACCGTCAATCCTCATTTGCTTCTATGATTTTATATTCCTTATTAAGAATGTTTAATAATGCCCCTCTAAATAGGAATCACAGTCGAAACGAAAATAAAGAATTCGAGTCCCACGTCCGGCATAGTGCATAAATGCAAACAAACCAAAAATTATAGAGCTGTAAAAAAAAAAAAATTCCCTCTGAGAAGTAGGAAAAAAAGTCTCAGGAAAACTATTAAGTAAAAGAGAACTGGTATAGATGAATTCAATAAATGAGATGGTTATTAAGAAAGAACAACAGGGGGCTGTGTCTCAATCTTAGATAAATGTTTTTTGGGGGGCCCTAAATATACATAGGGATGCGATGGCTCAGTGGCTAAGACGCTGAGCTTGTTGATTGAATGCTCGGCAGTTCAGTGGTTCGAGTCCCTAGTGCCATGTAAGGGGGTGAGCTCCCGTTATTTGTCCCAGCTTCTGCCAACCTAGCAGTTCGAAAGCAGGTAAAAAATGCAAGTAGGAAAATAGGGACCACCTTTGGTGGGAAGGTAACAGTGTTCCGTGCACCTTTGGCGTTGAGTCATGCCAGCCACATGACCACGGAGACGTCTTTGGACAGCGCTGGCTCTTCGTCTTTGAAACGGAGATGAGCACCGCCCCCTAGAGTCAGGAACAAGTAGCACATATATGCGAGGGGAACCTTTACCTTTTTTACCTTTATATATATATATACATATGCACAACCAGAATTTTCTTTTACTTTTATTTCTGGTATCCAGACTACATCCGACCCACACCACCCCCTGAAAGTGGTTACCACCGCTATCAATTCCTTCTCTACGAACAGCCAGCTCGTGAAGTTGTATCTTTGAATTCAGATGAAATTGCATCTTCCGGTAAGAATCTTCTTTTGCCTCTTTGGCAGTTCAAAATGCGTGGTGGTTGTTGCAGGAAGAGAATTAGTGCCTTCTTTCTGGATGATTTCTTTGACTCTGTTTCAACGCAGTTAGAATTCCCCTGTAGGTATATATATATATATGTTGGTGGAAATGATGAAAATGCCCCAGCAGGGGGCATGGCTTTGCTTGAAGCAGGAATGTATATTTTACTTAACAGTGTGGGAAATATTTGTCTCTGCTACTATTACCAAAGTAAATTCTCATGTCAACTCTATAAAGACGACCAAAGCAATCGTGTAGTTGGGTAAGTCTCAGAAACAAACGGCTCAAGGTGCTTTGTTTAGAATATATAAAGTAATACTGATCCCCAGATAAGGTGAACCTATGCAGATAATGATGCTTTTGAGTGGAGAATGGTGTTTAGAGCTAGGGTGGCAAAGCTTTGAAGGCCAGGGGGCATGAACTTTTGTTGTTATTGTGGTTGTTCTTTGTGGGACACAATCGAAAGTGACAGGATCGGTAGTGGGTTGCTACCAGTTCGTCCCGGTTCAGGAGAACCAGTAGTGTTGGCGGCGGGAGGCTCCACCCACTCATCAAAAACGCTCTGCACATGAGCAGAACCTTTTGCGAATGCGCAGAAGCGCCGTGCATTCACAAAGCAAGCGTGCGCGCCTGCGCGCTCCCGATAGCGAACTGGTAGCGCCGGAATTTGAATCCCACTACTGGACAGGATACTGTGACTGCATGAAATGAGTAAGGAAGGAAGGCCTGCATTTCTGTGGATGGCATGCACAGAAGGTGCAGAGATGCTAAGCTTCTTGGGTACGCTAAGCCTAATTAAAGACTTATCCAGTATTTTATTTATTATTTATTTTTATTTTTTTATTATTTTATTGAATTTATATACCGCCCTACTCCCGAAGGACTCAGGGCGGTGAACAGCCATAGAATAAAACATATAGATACAAAATTTAAAATAAAATAAAATAATAAATTAAATAATTTGGCTGAACAAATTTAAAACCCCAATAATTTAAAACCAAATTTAAAATTTCCATTTAAAAAGGAGAAAGACTTAGGTCATTTTGTTTATTAATATGGTGGGAAAAGTCAGGAAATAACATTGTCAAGGCTCAAAGGTTTGTTGCTATACTTCAGCGGTAAAGTGTATTGAGGGCTTGGGGACCTCAAAGAAAAAAGCATCCAAAATGCATATGGCGGCTGGCCAATTCTGTGAGTGGAAGTCCATGTACATTGGTTGCCAAGTTTGAGAAACACAACCCTTAAAAAGCAGGCATTATACCCACAGGCTTATGTTTTAATGTCTGAGTAAAGGAGGAAGGGACGTGTTGGCTCAGTGGCTAAGATGCTGAGCTTGTCGATTGAAAGGTCAGCAGTTCAGCGGTTCGAATCTCTAGTGCTGTGTAATGGGGTGAGCTCCCGTGACTTGTCCCAACTTCTGCCAACCTAGCAGTTCGAAAGCACGTAAAAAATGCAAGTAGAAAAATAGGGACCACCTTTGGTGGGAAGGTAACAGCGTTCCGTGCGCCTTTGGCGTTGAGTCATGCCGGCCACATGACCACGGAGACGTCTTTGGACAGCGCTGGCTCTTCGGCTTTGAAACGGAGATGAGCACCGCCCCCTTGAGTCAGGAACGACTAGCACATATGTGCCGTACCTTAAAGGAGGAGGGTTGTTAGAAATGAAATGAGTGGACCTGAGGGATATGAACGCACTTCTTTAGATTCCTGGCAAAGGAAGGAGGAAAGGCATCAGGAGGATTGGTGGATGGTTGGGTTGAGGAGCAGAGTTGAGGCTGGGAAGATCAAAGAACTGGGCAGGACTAGAAAGTGGAAAAGAGGAAGCTGCTGAAATGATCAGGTTAGCAGATACACGCTAGATTCCTTTCCTCCACCCTAGTCACTGCCCCAGTCAACAGCAGATGATGATGGAGCAGGGAGGAAACAAAAGGTTCTTAAAGCTGGCACCAGAATTGACAATGATAAATTCAAGCAGACATGCTAAGCAGAATGTATACCGCATGGTTGGCAATACAGAATCAAGTTTTTCAGCCCTGCTGATTCTGCAGTGTTCAGAATCAAAGCCTTACCTGGGATTACTTGATTAAGTTTCCATGCTGTAGTAAACCCTGGTTTTCTTCCAGCCACAATTTTTTAAACGGTCACATGGGCTGCGTTCAAACTTCATGCTAAACAAATCAAAACCTTTCCTATTATGGTTTAGTGTGACCTGGGAAAACTGAGCCTATGAGCATCAGTGGACTCCATCCACTGGGTTGTGTGTAGGAGAAAACTATTAGTAATCCAGCTGCGTGGCAAACCGATTTAGGGTACATATCTACTTTCCATTGCATGTCGATTGAGAACGGGTGGAAAAAAAAAAAAACAGCCAAGCAGAAAGACAGATTATGGTGGCAGATGTAAAGGTGAAGGAGATCTCAGATGCTGTGAAACTGAGAATAGACTTTGCTCGTGTATCCAAGAGCTTTGAGGAGTTTCATTGGTGACACCTCAGAGCCATCGCGCATGTCGAGCGATGAAATAAAAATCATGAATAATAAGATTTGGCAATTGAGTTGCACAAGCAGTCTTCAAACAACGTTAATAAAATAGCAGCTCTGCTGAGCCAGGCACGTTCTTAGCATGGAGGGACAGCTAGTCTCCCAGAGGAAAATGCTGCTTTAAGAGTTCTTTGCACAAGTGGAATTTCAGGACCGAGAAGAATAGAGAGAGATTCAGGAATGAGAATGCCTCGCCCATGGCGGCATGACACTTCACAAGAAGCACCGGGCACATATGAAATCGGTTTATGGAGCCAGAGACTGCTGCTTGGAAGAAGCATAATTCACATTGTGGTTGTAAACAAAAACCGAGCAAATTCTTTGAAAGCAGTAGGAGAACAGTGAAATTTTCCAAATGAATTTGCCCTTCTTTGCCTGTTTGTAAACCAATGCTATATATTACAGCTGAAAAGCCCTCTAAATGATGATGATGATGACACCATGCAAATTGGATTAGATTATGATGAGAGCAGCTTTCTATTTATTTTTTATTTATTTATTAGTTTGTCAAACATGTACAAGATAGCAGGTATGAATATGAACATGGACATGAACGAAGGAAATGAATACAAATAAATGGGGACAGTAGGATAGGGACGGTAGGCACGCTGTTGTGCTTATGCACGACCCCTTTACGGACCTCTTAGGAATGGGGTGAGGTCCACAGTAGACAGTTTAAGGTTGAAGCTGTGAGGGTTTGAGGATGTAACAACGGAGTCAGGTAGTGCATTCCAGGCATTGACCGCTCTATTGCTGAAGTCGTATTTTATGCAATCGAGTTTGGAGCTATTTACCTTGAGTTTCTATCGATTGTTTGCCCGTGTATTATTGTGGTTGAAGCTGAAGAAGTCGCTGACAGGTAAGATGTTGTGGCAGACAATTTTGTGTACTATGCTTAGATCAGACAGGTGGCGCAGTTCCAGGTTGTCCAAGCCCAAAATTTTAAGTCTGGTGGCATAAGGGATTCTATTGTGAGCAGAGGAGTGGAGGACTCTTCTCGTGAAACACTTCTGGATCCGCTCAATTGTATTAATATCCGATATACAGTGTGGATTCCAGGCAGACGAGCTGTATTCGAGAATTGGTCTGGCAAAGGTTTTGTCTGCCCTAGTTAGCAATACAATGTTACCGGAGAAGAAGCTTTGCAAAATTAGGTTAACAACTCTTAGTGCCTTTTTGGCAATGCTGTTACAGTGAGCTCTGGCACTTAGATCGTTTGAGATGAGTACTCCTAGGTCTACGAGTTTTTTTTCTAGGATCTGCTGGGGGTAGATAGAATACAATCAGGAGTCTGCAGTTCTGTTACCAACTGCATAGCTGTGGGGTGTGCAGAAGACGTATCCTCAAAGAGGTCATTAAGGTTTGGCCCTGATAAAGTGACCTATTCAACTGACTACTCTGGTATGTAGTATACACCGTAATGTAGAATAGAAGGAGAGTATTTCTTCATTGTTCTTACTGTGTGTGCATGTATAAACAGATCAGGGGTGGTTCTACTTACCTTTACTTCCTGTTCGCAACGGGGCCGCGCACACGCGCTTGGTTTGCTCGCGCGCGCGCGTGCGCTCTTCTGTGCATGCGCAGAAGCATTCTGATGATGTCAGGGTCAGTGGGCGGAGCCTCCCACCGGTTTTACTACGGATTCTATAGAACTGGTGCGAACCAGGGACAACCCACCAGTGAAACAGATGAACATGAAAGAGAAGGATTCTCCCACTTTGAAAACCTGTCTTTCGTCCCAGGCCTGGGGTTCAAGTAAAGGTTCTACTTACCTTTACTACTGGTTCGCAACAGGGCTGCGCTCGCCCGCGCGCTTCTGCACAGAAGCTTCCTGATGACGTCGGTGGGCGGAGCCTCCCGCCGCTTTTACTACCCATTCTATCGAACCGGTCTGAACCGGGGGTAACCCACCACTGCTAGGGTGGGGTGTTTTATTATTTGTCTAGGGCCCCTTACATTTTGTTTGATTTATAAGAATATTTGTATAACGCTACTGATTGGATGCTTTTATCTGTTTGTACGTTGTTGCTAGTTTTGCCTGCTGCACAGAGTCCATTTTTTTTTTTTAAATTTGATTTATATGCCGCCCTTCTCCGGAGACTCAGGGCGGCTTACAACGCGCTAAGCAATAGCCTTCATCCTTTTGTATATTTATACAAAGTCAGCTTATTGCCCCCACAAACTGGGTCCTCAATTTACCTACCTTAGAAAGGATGGAAGGCTGAGTCAACCTTGAGCCTGGGGAGAATTGAACTCATAGTAATTGCAAGCAGCTGGTCTTAATAACAGGGTGCTTTAGACCACTGTACTACCAAGGCTCTGTTGGGCCATTGCAGTTGGGCAGCTAAATTCAGAGAAAGATAGACAGACTGATGGACAGATAGATAGATAGATACGCTTGCCCTACACAAACGAA